AACCTTACCGTCGTCGATTCCGTTACAAAACAACCTAATCGTTTTTCTTTTTTTTTTCTTCCAAACATAATTTATTCGATTTATTTGCTAATTTATTATTATTATTATTATCGGTCACTTTTTCCAGTGATTAAATTCGATAGTAGGCTTTGAGATGATTACGTTTTTCCGTTTTTTTTTTTCCTTTCCTTTTCCTTTTCCTTTTTAGTTCGAAACTACTGACTGGAGAAAAAAACGTTACCCTCGTGGTTGTTTTTTTTTTTTTTTTTTTACTCGGGTAATAAATTATTAAACGTGTAGAAAGAACCGTTAAATCGAAATCGATACGTTTCGAAAAAGGTGAAAAAAAAAGTTGCATCATTTCACCGTGATAATAATAATAATAATAATACCATCGATGTTTTTCCTTTTTTTTCCCTTTTTTTTCCTTTTAAGCGGCATTTTTTTACGGCGGTAAATTATTATTATTTTGGTTTTTATTAATTACGTTCTAATAACCGGAAATGCATGTAAATTAAATCTTTTTTCAATTTTATGTAAATTCGACGCATATAAATACGCATTTAAACAACAAACAACAAACTGTAAAAAAATGTTTTTGTTGTTTCCTCCGAGTGCCCCCCTAAACGCCAAAAAAACAAAAAAAAACTCCAAATGAGGGACCACTTAAATTTAATTGTACTAGAAAACAAGACTCTCCAGTTTTAAATAATAATAATTGTCGTATTAAAAATAATGGCGATTATGATGATGATGATGATGATAATAAATAAATAAACGTATAAAAAAAAAAAAATTTAACTTAATAAAAAATTATGTAAAACAAGTAAAAATAATAATAATAATAATAATAATAATAATATTCAATTAAAGTCATTTAATAGGCGTTTTTTATCTCCGTATAAAATTATTATCATCATTATCATCGCGTAATCATTATTATTATTATTATTATTTTCTTTTTTCACACGCTTTTAATTTATTACGTCGTTTTCGTTGTTATTATTATTATTACCACTACTACTACTATTATTGTTATCATTTCTCTTTTTTTTATTATTATTATTATCATTAAATAGCTCAATTTTAGAGAGAGAGAGAGAGAGAGAGAGAAAGAGAGAGAAACTTTAATAATAATAATAAAATTAAAAGGAAAAATTGCAACGCGAAAGTATTTACGAGAAGAGGGAGGAGGAAAGCAATGGGTTGGGTTGGGGAGGGAAAAATTATTTTTAATCTGAAAAATCGAGTTAATTGATTATTTTCCCGGGGAGAAGGAGGAGGGGGAGGAAGGAGAAGAAAAAAGAAAAATTTTGTTTTTTTAAAAAGGGAAAGAAAGTCAAAAAGTAAAAAAAAAAGAAAACTTTGCACGCGAAACTTTAATGTTTTTTTTTATTAGGGGGGAAGGGAGGATCGTGGGAGAAAAGAAAAAAATTAAAAAATTAAAAAAAAACACGCACGAAACCTTTTTAGACTAAATTTAAATAACAATAATAATGATAAAAGGGAAAAAGTTTTTATTGCGACGACAACACGCTCGATGAAAATTATTAAAATTCATCGTACCTGAATACGGTACGTACGGACGTAAAAACCTTAAATAACAAAAAAAAACATGTTCGCATTATTATTATTATTATTATTATTTTTATTTATATTGACGTCACATACCCTGTTTTACCATGGGATGAAAGCAGATGTTTCAGTTTTTTTTTTTTTTTTTTTTATTTTAGTGGGGGAAGGTTTGAAAATTTTTTTTAATGAGTGCCATGAATCGCCTTTTTACGAAGGGATGATGATAATGATGATAATAATGATGATGATGATGATAAATCCAGAATTTGATAAATCACTTTTAAATTTCAATCAATGACGTAAATTAACAAGGGAAAGGAAAAAGAAAAAAAACATTTTTTTACGTTTCCCGTTTTTTTTTTTGTTACTTTGATTTTTTTTTTTTTTGATTTTTTGCTTAGACTAATCGATAATCGATATTTGTCAACCGAATCGAAATTCAGGTACGAGAAATACCCTTAAAAAAAAAAAAAAGGTAAAAAAAGTGAAAATGAAAACTAAAACTGAAAAGAAAGAAGAAAAAAAACATGAAACATCGTTATCATTCTCTTTTGACAGAAATTTGACAAAAATTTATATATTTATTTTAAGCCACGCCTGTACATTTAAAAAAGGAATCGTTAAGGTCGTGGCAATAGATGAATGGCAAAGAAGGAAAAAGAAAGAAAAAATTGAATAGATCAATGTTTAATCCCCATTTCACATATTTTTTACACGTTTACATCCACGTATTGTACATTTGTACTTATGCATATTTGCGACTTTAAAAATTTTTTTTGTCCTTTTACCCCCCTTCCCCCTTCCTTCACTACCACCGCCCCACAGCAGAAAACAAATTCGATCGTAATTCATCGCTGGAATCATTTCAAAAATTAAAAAAAAAAAAAAAAACAACAACGAAAAATAAATTATATCATCGGTCTCAACAATTGCTCGGTGTAATTTAAATAATTCGCTTCAACTTTAATAATAATAATAATAATAGTAATAATAATAGTAATAATAATAATAATCACCACAGCCAACGCAGATTTTTACTTTAATTAATTTTTTTTTTTTTATACGACGTGTTAAAATCTAAAGAAATTAACCTTTAATTTAAAGTTTCTTCCTCCCCATTTTTCTCCCCTTACCCCCCCTTATGTAATTGTGTATAATTTTTTAATTAACGCGTACACGCACGCACACACACAAAAAATAAATGAAACCTTTTTATTTTTGGCAATCTTTCTTTAAAAAAAAAAAAAAAAAAATTTATTACTACTGCTTAAATAAATAAATAATTAATAATGATGATAATAATAATGATTGTAAATCACGCGTCTACAATGATATTATTATTATTATTATTATTTCTTTTTTCATTCGAAAGATTTTTCGTTTGTAAGTAAGTAAAAACGTAACAACAACTAAAAATTATTTAAACAAACCCTCACGATTTGTTTTTTCTTTTATTTTTCTTCTGCTTTACGCAACCTTTCA